CCGCCGACTGCACGCGTGGCGCCACAACCGCCCTCAGCCCCTGAAGTTGCCGGAGGGCCCGGCGAGCCCCGTAGTGCGGCGTGCTCTGCAAGACGCTGGTACCCGGCGGCTGCGGGAAGAGGGAGGCGTCCCACAGATGGCGGAGATTGAGCTTGTGCCGCGCCCGCATCGGAGCGTGGGGGGCCTCCTTTTCCAGGATGCCCTGGTAGACGACTTTCTGGAAGTTCTGTCGGAAAACGTCGTCGGCCATGTCTCTCTGTAGGTTGCTCATCCCTCCCAAGACGTGCTGCACGTAGCCCAGGTCTTAAGACCCAAGGTCAGCACTAGTACTACTACTACTACTACTACTACTACTACTACTACTACTACTACTACTACTACTACTACTACTACTACTACTACTACTACTACGACTACTAGTACTACTTCTACTACTACTGGGCATACTTGTACTAGAGATAGTAGTGGTAGTACCAGTGGTGGTAATAGTATAACTATAATGTGCGTTTGTAGTGGATGTGGTAGTAGTACGAGCAGTAGTAGTAATCGTAGTAGTAGTAGTAGTAGTAGTACTAGCATGAATAGTAGTAGTAGCACTAGAAAAATAGTAGTAATCGTAGAAGAAGACGTGCACAAGTAGTAGAAGTAGTGTTGTAGTAATGGTAGTACCAGTCGTAGTAGTAGTAGCAATAGTAATGGTACTCGTAGTAAAAGTAGTAGTAGCAGCAGTAGAGTAGCAATGGTCGTGATCATTGTTTTTAGTACTCGCAGTCGCAGTAAGAGCATTCGTAGTTTTTATGGTGGTAATACCTGATAACAATAGTAGTAGAAATAATAATAGCCGTAGTCGCCGTAGCAGTAGTACTCGTACTAAAAGTACTCGTAGTAGTAGAAGTAGTCGTAGTAGTAGTAGTAGCAACCGTAGTACTAGTAGCAGTGATAGTGATAATAACGATAGTAGTAGAAGTAGTAGTAGTAGTAGTAGTAGTAGTAGTAGTAGAAGTAGTAGTAGTAGTAGTAGTAGTAGTAGTAGTAGAAGTAGTAGTAGTAGTAGTAAGTAGTAGTAGTAGTAGTAGTCTAGTAGTAGTAGTAGTAGTAGTAGTAGTAGTAGTAGTAGTAGTAGTAGTAGTAGTAGTAGTAGTAGTAGTAAGTAGTAGTAGTAGTAGTAGTAGTAGTAGTAGTAGTAGTAGTAGTAGTAGTAGTAGTAGTAGTAGTAGTAGTAGTCGTAGTAGTAGTAGTAGTAGTAGTAGTAGTAGTAGTAGTAGTAGTAGTAGTAGTAGTAGTAGTAGTAGTAGTAGGTAGTAGTAGTAGTAGTAGTAGTAGTAGTAGTAGTAGTAGTAGTAGTAGTAGTAGTAGTAGTAGTAGTAGTAGTAGTAGTAGTAGTAGTAGTAGTCGTAGTAGTAGTAGTAGTAGTAGTAGTAGTAGTAGTAGTAGTAGTAGTAGTAGTAGTAGTATAGTAGTAGTAGTAGTAGTAGTTAGGTAGTCGTAGTCGTAGTCGTAGTAGTAGTAGTAGTAGTAGTAGTAGTAGTAGTAGTAGTAGTATTAGTAGTAGTAGTAGTAGTAGTAGCTGTTGCTGTAGTAGTAGGAGTAGTAGTAGTAATAGTAGTAGTAGTAGTAGTAGTAGTAGTCGCTGTAGTCGTAGTAGTCGTAGTAGTAGTAGTAGTAGTAGTAGTAGTAGTAGTAGTAGTAGTAGTAGTAGTAATAGTAGTAGTAGTAGTAGTAGTCGTAGTAGTGGTAGCCGTCGTAGTAATATCAATGGTGGGAATCTTCCAAGAATCGACCAGGAATGCATCAGGAATCGTTCAGAAATCCTCCTGTGATGACTCTTAAGTCCTTGAATGATCCTGCAAAAAAACCTTCGGGGATCTTTTCAGACTCCTTCAGGGACCCTTGTGGGATCTTGTGGGATCCTTCAGGAATCCTCCAAGAATCCATTAAGAAGTTCCTGAGAATTCTTCCGGGATCCTTCACGAATCCTTTCAGAATCGCTCAGGGATCCTCCAAGAATCCTTCGCGAATATTTCACGGATGCTCTCAAAATCCGCCGGGACATTTCAAGAAACCTTCAGGAATCCTTCACGAATCCTGTGGCAATCCTCCAGGAATCCTTCCGGAACCCTTCAGCAATCTGAAAAAATTCAAGAATCCCGAAGGAATCCTCGAGAATCCTGCACGAACCTGCAATGATCCTTCAAGCCCGAGGAACCTGAAGCAAGTTTTCCTGGTTATAATCTGGCGCTCGCATTGCAGGATTACAATGGAAATCCAACGCGTTGCGATCAGTCCGTTTCCAGCGGTTGTAATCAGTCCGAGGTTGTTCCTGAACGGTCCGAAGTGGGTGCGTTCGGTCGTATTCTTGTCTGCCCCCCCACCCCCACCCCTGCCCTGTCGACCCGCTTCCACGGGGCTGGCCCTAGCCCGTGCCATTTCTGGCAGCGAAGGTCTCCAAGGGAGAACCACGTCACGCTCAGCGAGATCTTCGAAGATATCCACATCAAGCTCTGCGGGACATGTGAGACGATCGGTTCTTATATGCCACGACGTGCGTGACGTACGTTACGGTTTTTGGGTCATACGCGCCCATCAGTGTGATAAACCTGACGACCCGCATAAGCTACACCACGATCTGCGCCAAGGATCCTGCGCCCAAGAGACACAGCGGCCAAACAGCTTACGATACTCACCCACCCACTTACGTGGAGCTCAGACCAGCCAGTCTGTTGAGACCGAGTTCGGGTACATGGCCAACTTGCAGGAGTTTCGGGCGTGCAATACTAAACGGACGGCAGCCCCTCCCAAAGGACGTCGTCTCCCTCGCCAATGGCACGCTTGCCATGGCGAACAATCCACAAACGCGGAGCATCCTTTCGCCGCGAGAATAGCTACAAACTCAAGGCGGACAGCAGGGAGGACAGCTGTACAGCTTGAGCCGGAACAACATTATCCGGAGGATGAAGTGCAGCACAAAAGTAAACTCCAACCAACACAAACCACAGCTGCGCTGGCAGCCTCCCGCAACCGAAGGTGTCCGCGCCCTCTTGACAAAAGGGTGCGGCCCCCCCCGTGCCGCCCAGCCTGGCGGTGCCAGTCTGAGCCGACGCGCGGGGCGCCAGGGGTGCTAACACCCCCAGGAGAGGGAGGGTGTGGCGAAAGCGCGCGCGCCGTCCGCGACGGCAGAATGCAAGCGACGATGCCTGCAGGATGTAAGCGCCAAGGCCTGCATAGCGCGCGATCCCGAGGCGCACCGCGAACCGCCCCGACGGGACTTCCGCGGCGCGCCAGCACGGAGCGCGCACCGCGAAGCAAGCAGAAAAGCAAACGGCGAAAGTGCGCGCGCGCCGCGTGCCCACGCCCCGCGCGCGCGCGAACCCTTCTCGCGGGGCCGCGCACAGCGAAGCGCATGCTGTCACCCCGAACGCGCGCGGGGCCTTCTTGCGGGGCCGCGCGCGGCGATGCACATGCCGTTGCTCTCCTCCCCCCCTCGCGCGCGCGAGCCCTTCGCGTGGGGCCGAGCGCCGCGAGGCGCAGGATAGCTGGAGGGGGCCGTGCGCACAGCTCGCCCGCCTGCGCGCCGGCCAGGCGCGGGCGCGAAATTTGTGCCCGCGCAACGCAGCTCATGTGTGTGCCCGCGCTTTCGATGACGGTGTGCGCCCACAACGAGAGCAAGAAAGGCAAAACCAGTGGCCGACCCCAGACGCGAAACATGTTCTACGAAAGCGACCTGCAACTGCACGGCAACCAAGACAGTTTACCTCACGACATTTGCGCTGAACATCAAGACCTGCGGAATGATCACCCCGATGACACCGCACCGCTACCGCTACAGAAGGAACGAGAGCTACAGCCACCAGGTATGTGGCACCCTGAAGGAGCGCTACTGCGACCTGCCACAGAGCACCGACCACAACGAAGGCTTCAGCGTAAAGGTGAGAACGTCACAACGGGATCTACGACGAAAGCCGCAACTACGAACACATGCTTGCATACGAGTGCAAATATAATACTACGTGCACAAACTGTCAGAGAACGCAAGTCACAACGGGGCACCCCACCTAGAAAGAGAGTCGGAGCGATAACTACATCGAATGAGTCCGAGGGAAGGCACAGCTTGTCGGATAACGCAAACAACATCGCACATTACATCTCCTTGGCTAAGTACATCCGCAACAACAGCTATCGCTACGAGAGCTGTGGGCACAATTACACCTGCGGCCACGGTGAGGTCGATAGCTGCGAGAAGAGCTACGCCCTGAAACCATGCGAACGCGTGAAGGAGAACTGCGCGGCGAAGGACAGCTACAGTTGCAAAGTGTCCTTCGCCCCGCATAATCCCCCCGCAGCAGTGCTACCGCAGGACAGGGGGCGACAGCCTCGGCGAGAGCAGTGGCTACAAGGAGTAGACCCACGCCCAGAACAAGAGGTACCGCCAGAAGGAGAGCTACATCCGGGGGGAACGAAAGGGGGGGATAGCAAAGGGTAGGGTAGAGAATCAGCTGACGTAGCTGATTTTCCCAGCGCCTCCCGGCGCCGAGAGGCGCCCACGTATCGAGGAATGGGCCTGGCGGCGGTGCCGAAACCAGCTGCACGCAGCAAATTTCGTAACCCCCCCTTTCCCTATCCCCCCCTTTCGTTCGGTCAGATACATCCGCAGGGAGGGGCTACAACCTGAAAGACAACTGCAGCTGGAAACAACCGGGCGAGGCTGCAGACGGATGCCGACGAGGAAGAAGAGGACGTCTACCAGTGGACCCTCGACAGCCCCTGGCGGAAGCTCCAACCAGGAAGCATTATCATCACAACCGATGAACCCACCGAGGAGGGAGCAGCAATGGGGGAGAGAAAAGAGAGAAGGAACGAGGGACGAGATGGTGGATGTGGAGGGGGAGGAGGGTCGAGCGCTGGGACAAGGAGGGTGAGGACGGGGGGGGGGGCAGTGAGGGCGAGGTGGAGGAGGCGGAGGAGGAGGCGAGGGGCTGGAAAGAAGGAGCAGCGGCAGTGTCCCGCGCCCGCCGCAAGGGCGCCATCACGCCTGGGGCTGCTCGGGTCGCTTGCGGGGGCGGCGCGGCGCTACGGCGGGGCCGACGTTCGGCGCCGCCGCGGCGGCATGGTTGCGGCGGCGCCCTCCCCCTCGAGCCAGGCGGCGGGTCTCCTCTGCCCCCCTCCCCTCGCGCGCCGCACCAAAAGCTGCCAAGAGGCTCCCATCATGAGAGGTCCGCGAGGGCATGTGTGGCCGACTCCTGGGCCTGCTCAAGCTGATCTCGGTCCTCTGTTTGACGGCCGGCCCCCCCCCCTCTTTGCTCCACTGCGCGCCCCCCCCACACACACTTCCCCTATCGATTCAGCTCGCCCTGGGCATCGTTGCTGGATGGGCCAGTGGGAGCACGGTGATGGGCTTTGCCTTCGAGTCTCGCGAGCACTTATCGTGTCGCTCCGCTCCGCGGGGCGGGAAGCTGGAATGAGCTCGGGGGCGCTGCCGCTCGGCGACGGGGACGTGGACAGCGCGTCGCGCCGAGGCGTGTGGTGGGCCAGCACTGGCGGGGCGGCACGCCAAGCCGAAGTCCCCAACGGTGCGCAGAGCGCCCAGAAGTTGTCTCAAGCAGGGTTGAGCCCTCCTCCTCCTCCTCCTCCTCCTCCTCCTCATCCACCTCCTCCTGCTCCTCCTCCTCCTCCTGCTTCTGCTCCTCCTCCTCTTCCGCCTCCTCCATCTCTCCTCCTTGCCGTGTTGTTCGTCATCCTCGTCTTCTCGTTCCTCCTCCGCCTCCTTCTCACTCCTCCCTCCCTCTCCTCATCCTCCGCCTCCTCCTCCTCGTCCTCCTCCTCCGCCTCCTCCTCCTCCTCCTCCTCATTCCCCTCCTCCTCGTTCCCATCGGCATCCCCTGCCTCGGTCCCCCTCCTCCTACTCTGCCTTCTCCAGGCGCGCAGCAGCAACGGCGAGAGAAAGGCCAACCACGACGGCACGCTTGCCTGTTAGCAGCCCGCCGCCCTGCAGAGGCCAACCCCTGGGCGCTCAGACCAACCCTTTCTGTGCTCGCCCTGCCCCTCGCTGGGGCGGACGAGACGGGGTACACGGCAAAGGGGGAGCCATCCGAATCAGCTCGCGCAGCTGCTTTCCCCCCGGGCGCAAACGAGACATGAAACCCGCTGCAGGCAGTAGACTTCGGGACAATCCCTTTCCCTTCCTACCGCCCCTTTCTGGCCCGTGCGATCCTTGTCTGGCTTTCGTGTCAGACCTCGGGCCTCCAGCAGCCGTCCAGGACGATCTGGACACACCCCGAACGCTCTCGGAGAGGCGCTACTGCTGAAAAGCACCCCAGGGGATTGAACACCGCTCCGAAGGGCCGAAAACCTTCCAAAAACTCCAGCTCAAAGCCCCTTTCGTCCGACACTGGTGTTGTCCCGATTCCCCTGGCAAGGCTCTGGGTTGCGCACAGACCGCCCCCCCAGGCAGTCCCAGCTGGTCTCAACAGGCCCCCCGGCAGTCCTGGCTGGCCTCAACAGGCCCCCCGAGTAATCCAGGGCGGTCTCATCGACAACCCAGCCTAGGGAGGCGGAGCCCCCCAAGGGGCGCCGCCAGAGGCAGCGCTGGGGTGCGGAGACCGCCCTGCAGAGGCCGGCCGAGGCCACCTTGGGGCGGTGCGCAATCCGAAGCCTTCAGGTACCAGATGCCGCCCCCCCCCCCCCCACCTTCGCCTGCCCCGATCCTGGCCGCTCCCTGGCTCCGAGTCCGCCGCACTTTGGGCGGTGTCGTGCGCAGGGCGGGACTTCCCGCCCTGCGAACGACTCTGCCAGCGCTGTCTCCGCCATGCCTCTGCGGAAACATCCGCCCGAACCCTCTGAGGCGGAGACTTCTGCCCTGCTTTTCAGAATCGTTCGGGGTGCACTTCCGACACGAGATGCAATCGGAAATGTCAGCCAAAATACGGCGGATCTGGAGTCAGCTTGGCAGGCCAGATACGCAGCACGCAACCCGTAGCGTGCTGACACGGGCTGACGCGGAGCTCAACACGCGGAGTGAAAACGCAGGTCTGGCGCGATACGCTCACCAAGTGGGCCAACTCGTGCCGAGCCAACACGTCGTTTTGAACACGGTGCGTGTTGCGTTTCGACTTGGACGCGGCTAGGGGCCAGGGGGTCCATCTGGTGTAACGTCTCATCCCAGATCAATTTTGTTCACGGTCCGAGCCCAGAAACGGCTCCCGGAGGCCGAAAAAGGCAAACCACCGAAAAAATGTCCCGAACCAAGATCCTCGAACCTGCCCGCCCTTCCTGCTGGCCGGAACGAATGGTGGGCCACCTCACCTGCCCAGGCGGCGACAGGCGTGTGGCGTTTCAGAGCGGGCGTATCACGAGCGCTCAGGTCGTCCAGCTCGCCCCTCTCCTCCTCCTCCTCCTCCTCCTCCTCCTCCTCCTCCTCCTCCTCCTCCTCCTCCTCCTCCTCCTCCGCCTCCTCCTCCTCCATCTCCTCCTCCTCCTCATCCTCCTCCTCCTCCTCCCTCCCTCCTCCTCCCTCCTCCTCCTCCTCCTCCTCCTCCTCCTCCTCCTCCTCCTCCTGCTCCTCCTCCTCCTCCTCCTCCTCCTCCTCCAACTCCTCCTCCTCCTCCTCCTTCCTCCTCCTCCTTCCTCCTCCTCCTCTCCTCCCTCTTCCTCCTCCTCGTCCTCCTCCTCCCCCTCTTCCCCCTCCTCCTCCTCCTCCCCCTCCTCCTCCTCCTCCCCCTCCTCCTCCGTGTGCCGCCGCGGGGCACGTGCCGCGCCTCGGGCTGCGCCGGGCCGCCTCCGGGGCGCTGCTCCGCCGCCTACGCGGCGGAGGGCGGCGACAGTCGTCGTCGTCGTCGTGGTCGTCGTCGTCGTCGTCGTCTTCGTTGTCGTCGGCGTCGTCGTCGTGGTCGACGTCGTCGTCGTCGTCGTCGTCGTCGTCGTCGTCGTCATGATCGTCGTGGTCGTCGTCGCGATGGTCGTGGTCGTCTGGGTGGTCGTCGGGATGGTCGCCCTCGCCGCCTGTCGTCTGTCGTGGACGTGGTGGTTGCTGTCGTCTGCCGTCTGTCGTGGTGGTCGTGGCGTTCGTGGTCGTGGCCATTGTCTTCGTGGTGGTCGTGGTGGTCGTGGTGGTCGTGGTCGTGGCCGTCGTCGTCGTCGCCGTCGTCGTCTCCCTCGTCGATTTCCCTCATTATGCATATTCCTCCTTCTCCCCCCTCCGCCATAGAGCAAGCGTCATATCAGCGCCACGTCTGCCACGAGCGCTGGAAGGCCAATCAGAAGGCCCGCTCCTTCTCACTTCCCCAGGGCTCGCCGCCGATATTTGCCATCGCTCAGACGTCCGCTCCCCGTTCGTATTTCGGCTTCGTGCGTCTTTCTGTCGCGAGACGACCCTATCTTATATGCTCTTCGAGCTTCGAGGGTCCAAGCTTTCTGGCGCTGGCTTCGCCAAAACATCACGCACACGTCTGAGTGATGCCAAGCCTAAGAGGCCCTCTCAGAGTCCTGCGCGCCCTTCAATCAGCCCCCGCCTTCTGAGAAGGCCGAACTCCTCGCGCCCACGACGACGTTGTCGTCGACGACGTCCGCGTCGACAACTACGTCGGCGACGTCGATATTTGCCATCGCTCAGACGTCCGGTCCCCGTTCGTATTTCGGCTTCGTGCGTCTTTCTGTCGCGAGACGACCCTATCTTATATGCTCTTCGAGCTTCGAGGGTCCAAGCTTTCTGGCGCTGACGTCGTCAAAACATCATGCACACGTCTGAGCGATGCCAAGCCTAAGAAGCCCTCTCAGAGGCCTGCGCGCCCTTCAATCAGCCCCCGCCTTCTGAGAAGGCCGAACTCCTCGCGCCCACGACGACGTTGTTGTCGACGACGTCCGCGTCGACTACGTCGGCGACGTCGACGACCACGTTTTCGGCGACGTCAACAACGACGACGTCGACGACGTCAACAACGACGACGACGACGACAACGGCGACGACGTCAACGCAAACGACGGCGACAACAAAGGCGACGGCGGCGTCGACGACAACGTCGACGACGACGTCGGCGGCGTCGACGGCATCGACGGCGCCGACGACCGCGTCGACGACGATAGCGACGACGAGCGGCGTCGTCGCCGTCGACGACGACGAGCGACGACGACGATCGACCCCCCCACGGGCGCCGCCGGCGCCGCGGCGGCAAGCCGAGGCAGCGCACAGTCCGAGCCCCTGTGAGGCGGCCGGGGCTTTGCGAAGGGGCAGGGGGGATGGGCGGGGGGAAACGAGGGGGGGGGGAGGAGACAGGCGGGGCGAGGAGGGAGGGAGGGAGGGAGGAAGGACTGGACTGGACTGGAGCGCTTACGACCCTGGTGAGTTCCACTGTCGTGCGACGCTTAGCAAAGGAGCACCTGATATGTATAAGGATCTGCGGATAGCACGGGGCTATTGCCTGCAGCCTCGCCGGGGGGAAGCCACTGGCCCAAAGCAAGACCATCCTATGGGGGACCGCCCGTGACGGCCTGCATGGGCACCATCCTCCCAGCGGCAGGCTCGCATCATAAGAGAGTCGAAAGTCTCCCCCATTTCAATCCTAGGCCACGGCCCAGCAACGACGCGACGAGGGAACGAAGGGGAACGACGGGCGAGAAGGAACAGAACACCGCCAACACACGCAAACACCTACACACACACGAGGCCAGAGGAGGGGGAAGGCAAGCAGCAGCAGGAGCCGCGGGAGAGAGGAAGGAGAGGGGGAAGGGCAGCAGGCAGCGGACGGGGCCGTGGCCTTATGTGCGAAACTCACTCTGATCAGATTCTGAAATCAGTGACGGCGGTGGTGGAGGAAGGGGGGGGAGCAAGCAGCGCACTCGAGGCGCGCGCATCAGCAGAGAACGAGGAGGAGTTAAGGTCAGTGGAAACTGTCCTGACCTAAGCGGCTCTCTGAAGAGCCTGAACCACCGACAACCGAAACTCCTGATAGTAAGCCTTAAATTTCACATCCCCCGAAGTATATTCTAAAATCGGGATGGCTGGTTGTTCTTGCATCTTAGCAAGCTGGGAGTGTCCGAGGTGGCCCTCATGGGCCAGCTCTAGCATACGGATTGACTGAGCGATAGCAGACAAGCGAGCGGGTTGCCTCATCCTCGAACGAGCACGGGTCTCAGAAG